GATAGATAGATAGATAGATAGATAGATAGATAGATATATACGCTCAAAGTCGCCGAAGTGAGACACTGGTTCCTTCTTGTGTATCCCCAGCTGCCCCCTTTTTCCCACCACAAGGTCGAGTCACCACTAGATTTCTAGCGTCTCTCATTCGAGCTGCTGTTTTCAGGATTCTCACATTTCAGCAGCTCTTTTTTAGAGGCGACGCTCCTTAGGGCGTGGGCTGTGCGTCCCCTGTAGCCTGTATGTAGCCACCTCTAGTTTAGTTCTTGCAGTGTTCACTAGATGGCGGTACCGTCCCCTGTATGTAGCCACCTCTAGTTTAGTTCTTGCAGTGTTTACTAGATGGCGGTACCGTTTCCTGTATGTAGCCACCTCTCGTTTAGTTCTTGTAGTGTTTACTAGATGGTGGTACTTGTAGCTGATGATGAAAAGATGCAAGATGTTATAAACTAGAAAGCATTACTTGTAGTTGATGAAAGACGCGAGATCTTATAAAATAGGAATGATGTCACATTTGGCGCGTGTCATTGGTTGAAGGCAATCGTTCGATTTAGTACGGCGACGTACGCTAGGGGGAGCAATGTAATAAAATCGAGTGGGCAAAATGTACAGAGGATTCATGGTTTACCAGGTTTACCTCCGGAGCTTCGCCCACTCATCATCATTCACTTCGTGGATATGGCGGAATTTTTTAAGAGTTACGTGCCCTACCAGCTCTTTTCAAGCCTTCAGCTCCATTTCGAGCTTTTCCTTAGCCGCCTTTCGCTCTGCAGCCCGTCGCTCACACTCTCTCCGTCCGCTCCTCATACCATACTCTGAACTACGTTCCCTTCAGACTCGTGCGTTCAGCCAATTGTAAAATCTCCCACGTGCTGGTCATGGTTCGCACCACATCCCAAAATCCAGATGAAAAACAAACGACTTTGTCCTGGCGCTGGGGATGCCAATTTCTCACGCAAGGATCTTCTTCCTGATCTCTTTCTCCTGGGCTGAGCCTCCAAGAGTTTTGTCAATAAGGACAAAGTGATTTGTTTTAAATAAAGCTCACTCACAAATGTTTATTAGAAAGGTAAAAAGACGAAAAAGCCCCCACAAGACAGAAGCGCCTAATAAAAAATGACTACACGCGATGAACACTCTGATGGCACACAAAACCAAACCTCAAGTAAATACTCCACAGAAAATAGTCCTGGCATGGCTGGGTGGCGGAGCATGGAAAGATGGCTCTTCAGTCTCATCAAACTGAAGTGCTTCACTTTTGGAGTCGATGGCGGTAAGTTGGTTGCGCCAAAGGAATGCTGGCTTATGACGACGAGCGAATGCTGGCGGTGATGACGAAATGCTTGTTGCTGGCAATGCGTCCTGAAACCAGATCGGAACGTGGTGGCTCTGGCTTTAGGAGTGTACACGCGCTGTCGTTGATGAGAGGATGGATGCTGCCTGTTGGCGATGCGTCACGCTGAATTTTGGGGACGATGAGAAAACTAGAACGCGGTGTTTCCGGCCTAAGGAGCAGACACTGGCTGGCTGTTGACGATGTACGAATGCTGCCTAGTGGCGACGCGTCGAGGAACCAGGGTGAACCTGGACAGGCAGCTGGGCGCACAGCTCGGGCCCGTATCCCGACGGCTGTTGCTCGCCTGCCGGAACCGAAGTCCGCAGGCCCTGTGCAGGAGTTTAGGACCAGATTTCCACGGTCCTTATGAGCAGGAACACGATGACAGGAGGGCCTGGCTGGTTGAAGTCCTGGAGGCTTGGGTCCGACGCCCAACGGCCCATCTTCAGTGCCCAGTCTGGTGATTACCTTCCCGTGTTCCCACCATGTTTGAACTTCTCTTGCTCTGCTCCGCTAAGGCTTCTGCTTTCGCTCTGATCCACTTGTACCGTTTTGATTGAAGATTCTACACTTTCGTGGTGCCAAGAAATTGGTCCTTGAACTATCCGTGTTTCTTTTCCATTGAATACCGTCTCCTTCGTTTTACTGCTGCTGATGCTTATGACCTCTGATGGATGGCGCTTACACACAGAGGGGGATGGGCAAAGAACCGCGCGGCAGGATACTTAAATGAAACTAAAACGAAAACGAAGCCAATATGAAAAAGTAGTTTAAAAATAATACTACCAAAAACAAAAATGTTTGCTGAGCAAGCGGTCAAACCATTTCTTGTTTTTGATAGACATATCTACGAATTATAAACAAAAGATCCGAAAAGGTTAGGGTTCACTAGCACGGTAATCTTTTATTTGCGTAGATTTATTCAAACACAGTGAAGCATATATCCCTGTGACAGTATCCAAATGAAGTTCCGCCAAGTGATAAAATTACTGGTAGATTTACTTGTATTCCTAGCTTTTGTAATGGGGCTACTAAAAATCTTTTCCTCTGATAAGAATAACGATGACAGAAAGAAAAGAAATGTTCAATTGTTTCAATTTCGTTGCACCAAATGCATAGCGGTGACGCCTGTCATCTCGCCGCGCGTCTTCGTGCTCTCGCTCTTTACATCTTCACCATCGTCTTCTTCTACCTCGCCACCATCTGCGCGGTCTTCATTGATTTCCTGTTGCTCACTTTTTCAAAGCACGCACTTTAAACGCGCACTCCACTTATCACAGGGAGACGACTTCGGGTGCCTTAGAACAGATACGTGCAGGCTAGGGCAGCAAGTCTTAGTGATGGGTGATTTGAACGCCCCACAAGTGTCATGGCGATTCTTATTCGTCACACGTAAAGCTACCAAGTTAAAACACCTCATCAACAGTCAAAGCTTTACACAGCTCGCAGATCCGCAAGAGCCTACAAGAATAGGAACCCGCACAAATATAGATACGTGCCCTGAGCTAACGTTTGCAAGGGGTGTAAGCAAGTCTAACTGGACAAATATACATGAAACGTCAAGTATTGATCATTGCATCAGTTCCACTACACTGCACACTTCCAACTCCCATGCTCCAGGGTGGAAGGTCCGTCTGAGTAGTTGGGATGCAATTAGAAAACATTTTGACAGCAATCTGTCTGGCTGGGTAGAAAAGTTTAGAAAATTGAAATTGCTCCAGCCACAGTTCAAATAGAGTCCGACGTTTCGAGACCGACTCGGTCCCTTCCTCAGGGGGTGACTGTCATGGTCATGGAAGTGTCGTCGCGTCGTGTTCTCTCACCACGGCTCCGGCTTTCCCTTTCCACCACGTTTCGGAGACCGTGAACGTACACCGAAGGCATTGTTCCCAGTGAGCGATTCACGTTGGCAGGCGTATGCTGAATGTGCCAAGACTCGAGCAAGAGCCTCTTTCCCTAATTCCGTTCTGTTTCAATAACAGAAGCGCCGTCTAAGTCAATTTTATAGTCGTGCTTCTCGCAGTGCTCCGCCAGAGTGCTACGTTGCACTTCCATCTTCCTGACGTCGTTCTTGTGTTGGCGCATTCTTTCCGGGAAACACTTGCTCTCGCCTATGTAGCAGGCTGGACACCCAGAACACGACACTTTGTAGACAACGCCCGGGTGTAGCTCCCTCGGAGGTCGGTCTTTCGGCCGCGGTAGCAAGCGAGCGAGCGTCGAAACAGGTTTATGGATTACCGTGACCCCGGCTTTTCCTAGGACTCTCGAGAGCTGTTCACTTATGCCCGGCACATATGGAATGGCGACGCGGTTGTTTGGCGCCTTCGTTTTTCTCGTGTGTGGTGGTGTGGCCAGGGCGGAAAGGGGGTCGGGCGGTGTGTCGCTTGCAGGTGTCTTTCCGCGGTGCGGTGGTTGTCGTCTGACAAACGGCGTGACGCTCGGCGGATGAACGCTTCTGTGTAGCCATTCCTTCGTAGCTCGGCGACAATCCTCTTTTCTTCTTTCTTCCTCTCACCCTCCGACGTGCAGATTACTCGTGCACGTGAAAGGAGTGCCGAAACCACTGAAGCTTTGTGGGCAGTTGGATGACAGGACGCAAATGCAAATACCTGCCGGTGTGAGTTGGCTTTCTATACACCGAAAAGGTCATGCGCTCGCCCTGTCGTCTGACTAAAACATCGAGAAACGGAAGCGCCCCGTCTCGCTCTCGTTCCACCGTGAACTGTATCGCTTGGTCGATGGAGTTTAGATGTTCGAGGAAGCTGTCTACTGCTGCCTTCTTTATTATGCAAAAACAGTCATCCACGTACCTCACAAATACTTTCGGCCTGTCAATAAAGGAGCCCAGTGCCGTCTCTTCTATGTGTTCCATTGTGAGGTTCGCAGCCGTAACGGAGATCGCCGCTCCCATCGCGGTCCCGCTGGCTTGTCTGTAGAAGCTCCCGTTGACGCTGAAATACGTCCCCTTGAGGCAGTATTCCAGTAGGCGACACAGTTCGTCGACGCCCAGGCAGGTTCTTTCATCCAAGAGCTCGTCTTGGTTCAACGCTGCTCGTGCGCTAGATACCGCTAGTGCTACGAGAACACTGGTGAACAGGGACACGACGTCGAACGAGACGAAGCACTTATCGCTGCTCACGGTCACATCTCTCATGCGCTCCAAGAAGTGGCTGGCGTCGCGTATGTGGGTCGGTGTTTGCCCCACGAGCAGCGCGAGAGTCCGGTGGAGATACTTGGACAGCGCCCGGAGTGGAGATGTTGTAAAATCCACGATAGGACGGAGCGGAACTGTAGGCTTGTGGGTCTTGGGAAGCCCGTAAAATCCTGGTGCAGAGCCGTTCCGGCAGATGAGCTGGAGGTATGTGTTTCTCGCCTTCGGGTGCGCTTTAAAGATATCCGCCAGGAGCTTGTTCATTTCCCTTTGGACACTTGGTGTGGGGTCCTTCGTCAGCTTTTCGTAGGCTGGACTGTCCAGCAGGTCTCGCACCTTGTCGTCGTATGCCTCCCTGTCGAGCAGGACCATTGCGTTCCCTTTGTCGGCCGGGAGGATGACAACCTTATCATCATTTCGGAGCGCATGGATCGCCTTACACTCCTCTCTCGACAGGTTGTGCTCACGGCGCTTTCCTATTTTCGATAGTACGCCGATAGCCTTGAGACGCACGTTCTCCCGAATGCCGCGGTCGAGTCGCCTTATGCCTTCCTCCGTAGCCGCGATGATCTTCGGCAGTGACGGACGTGTCGTGGTCGTGTTGAAGTTGTGTCTCTTTGCCAGCACGCTGTGCTCTGTCGGGGAGAGTTGTTTGGAGGACAGAGTGACGACGAAATTCTCGTTGTCAGGACTGTAGTGGTGTTTTTCTCCTTGAAGCGTCGCAAGCTTACTATTGTGGGTCGCTTGTTGTTTCTGTGCAGTTGTTGCAGCCACATTTCGTGCGAACTCCTCCAGTGACGTAAAGATGTCGGGCAGTCGATGTTGAAGTTGCTGTCGTAGAAAGAACAGGTCTAATTCCTTCTTCTTAATGACGCTGTGGCACTCATGGATTCGGGCGTTTAGTAGCCGCCATTCAGCTTGTGCGATGATCTTGTTGCCCTCCGCCGTGTGCACCAGGCGCTTGAGCTGAAGGCTTCGTGGTATCACGTTCCTCTCCCGACAGGTCCTCGTGAAGTCGAGATGGTTGCGGTAGGTCGTGACGCCGCTTGCTACGTTCACGTACCGCTTTGCGAGGAGCCCTGCTTCCTGACCGAAGTCACTGCGTAATGACTTAAACGTAAACATTTTGACAGCAATAAATCATTTCATGGCGAAGAGCAGTACTTATTATGCTGCGAATGCAACTTTCATTACCATGTTGGAAATTGTTCCGGGGTATCACTATCCGCGTATCGAAAAAAGACAGACGCCACAATAAAAACCTGGAAATGCGCTACGTGCAAAACCACAAAGCCCAGAGGAAGTCATAACACAATAAATTTCAACGACGAAACTGAAGTGGACCTTTCTCGTGAAATCAACGAAATACACCGCAAACTTGCTGTGCTTATTGAAATGAAAGTGAAAGTAGATGCACTAGATGAAATTAAGGCAGCTGTTGACAGCGTCGAACAAGCAGTGCAGGAGATGGCTAAAAAATACGATGAGGTCATTTCGCAGATGAAACAGCAGAATGCCGATATTACAGGACTAAAAAAACGCGTGGAAAAACTTGAGGTCAAAGTGAACGATTTCGAAATCGGAAAGCTGAAACAAGAGCTTAATGACTTGGATCAGTACAGCCGACGACTAAATTTAGAAATACACGGTATGCCCTATCATACAGGAGAGAATTTGCTTGACAAACTTAATAGGCTAGCAGATGACCTTGACGTCCCACATCTTTCTGACCAGGATGTGGAAGCCGTTCATCGACTGCCACCCAAGAGAAAAACTGATAATGCAAGCAAAACAGAGACGGTTCCGCCCATTTTGGTTCGGTTTTTTTCGCGAAAGATTAGGGACAGCTGGCTAGCGAAGAAAAGTGAACTGAGGAAAACTAAATCAAAAATATTTTTGAATGAAAACCTAACAGCGCAAAACAAACAGCTTTTCTGGAAGATGAAAACAAGAGCAGTTGAACGAGAATATCAGTTTGTGTGGCATAAGAGTGGTAAATTGTTTGTTCGCCGTAGCCCACGCGATCGTGTAATTCGGATTATCACGATGGATGACCTCGAAAAGATAAAATAGTGCTCTCATGCATGCTGCTTGTCATTGTACGTGACGTATAAAAATGGCAAGGTTCAATAAATATTATGATAAGGACGCTTTTAAGGCTTCCGCCGCATCATGCTCTAGAAACGATTTGTCTATTCTGCATTTAAATGCGCAAAGCTTGAAAAGTAAGGAAGAACGCGTTTGCATGCTTCTTGATGATTTTAAATACAACTTTGACATTTTAGCCTTTTCTGAAACATGGTTCACCGATGAATATGAGGTACAATTCCCAGGTTACAGATGTACAACCGTATCCAGAAAAGAAAAGCGAGGAGGCGGGGTAGCATTTTATATCAAAAACGATTTGCATTTCGAAACTGTGACAGAGTTTTCAGTCGTAAACCCACACTACGAATCCCTCATGATGAAGTGCTACCATACTGCAATTGTGGTAATTTATAGGCCGCCCTCTGGTGCCATAGATGCCTTTTTTAACTTTTTAGAACGTATGTTGAATTTTTGTTCCGAACTCGGTCTGACTATTGTTACGACGGGTGACTTCAACATCAATATGCTGTCTCTAGAACGCAACAAACAAGTTCTTCTTGATCTATTTCTCTCTTACGGCCTAGAAAATGTAATTGATGTACCGACAAGAGTAACAGATGTCTCCGAAACTCTAATTGATCTATGCTTAATCCCACAAACGAATGTCATAGAAGCAGGTGTCTTGATATCTGATGTCAGTGATCACATGCCAATTTTGTTTTCTTCAACCCTCATTCAAAAACACATAGAATGCGTGCCAATAAAGCTTTTAAACTTAGAAAGATTAACAAAAGCAATCTTGCTGCTTTTCAAACGGCTGTTAGTGAAACTTCATGGTCTTATCTGTATCAGTTAACGGATCCTGTCATTGCTTATAGTTATTTTATCAATCACCTTAAAAAACTTTATGATGAAGCATTTCCTTTAACTACTATCAAACAAAACAAGAAATGTAGGAAACCTTGGATTACCACGGTGCTTCTAAGGAGAATGAAGGAACGAGACAGACTTTTTAGTCAATTCATTAAAACTAGACAACCTAATCTCCTAACTGTTTATAAGAAAATTAGAAACAAACTAGGGCGTGATATCAAAGAAGCAAGAAATTGTTATTACGAAAGAAAGTTCGAAACCATTCTAAATGACCCCAAACGTGTGTGGCAAACATTTAAAGGCCTACTGCCGCAAAAAGAGCCACTCAGCGTCTCTGAAATTGTAGACAGCGATATAACTTATACCGGTATATCTTTGGCTAATAAGTTAATGAACACTTTTTAAAATGTGGAGCATCGGTAAGTGATAACTGTGACAGGCATAATTACAGGTCATACATTATGCATAACTCCTTGAAGTCTCTTTTCATGGAACCAACAACAGAACATGAAATTAAATCCCAAATACTAAAGTTAAAGAATGCATCCGCATGTGGCCAGGACGAGATAAAAGCCGAGCCGATAAAAGCAGTTGTCAACAGTATCAGCAATCCTTTATCACACATATGCAACCTCATTTTGGCTACAGGCGTGTTCCCTGATAAACTAAAAATCGCTAGAGTAACAGTTATATTTAAGGGAGGCGATAGAAATGACATGAACAACTACAGACCAATCTCGGTACTACCACTGTTTTCAAAAGTTTTCGAACAAATGATTAATGTAAGAATTATGAATTTCTGCACTAAAAATGATGTACTTACAGGCAATCAATACGGCTTTCAGAAAAAGAAGTCAAGTGAAGTGGCTCTCTTAAGTATCAAAGAAAAAATAATTCAGAATTTTGAAGACAAAAAGTATACTCTAGGGATATTTCTTGATTTTAAAAAGGCATTTGACTCTATTAAGCATGATATCTTATTAAAAAAGTTAAGCGAATATGGCGTTAGGGGACTTGCTCTTGACCTTATACGCAGTTATTTGACAAACCGCTACCAATACACAGACACCAATCATTCAAAATCAGTTTTAGGTGAAATTAAATACGGTGTTCCTCAGGGTTCCATCCTTGGACCACTTCTTTTTTTATTATATATAAATGATATAGGTAATATTCCGTTCACGCCAGATATAATTCTTTACGCCGATGACACGAATGTATTTTTTTCAGGAGAGAACCTACATATTCTTCAGTTGCAAGCTAGCAAATGGCTCAATAATTTATCTGAGTGGCTTATTGTAAATAAACTAGAACTAAATACCAAAAAAACTAAATATATAATTTTTCGCTGCCGAAATAAGTCAACCAGGAATGACGTACATTTGAAATTCCGTGGCGAGATCATCGAGCGTGTAAGAATACATAAATTTCTCGGTGTTCTTTTCGAAGAAAATCTCAGCTGGTCTCCTCATGTCGATAACCTCACAAGACGCATCTCACGTTCAATAGGTATTATCAGCAGAGCAAAGCAACTTTTGCCACGTTGGTTAAAACTCCAGCTATATTACGCACTAATTCATTCCCATTTACAATACTGCCTCCTTGTGTGGGGAACAACAACAAAAACAAATCTTAAAAAGCTGTATATCCTACAAAAACGTGTTGTGCAAGTTATTGAAAATGTGCCATATATAACTCACTCCGCTCCACTTTTTAAAGCGAACACTATATTAACAATGCAACACATACTGAAAAAGAAGCTAGGCATTACAATATTTCAGAAAATAAAGTTATGCCACGATAGTTTGTTTCGACAATTTCTGGGAAAAGGACACGCTTACGAAACCAGAAAAACTAAGTATGTTAAAGGTTTTACACGAACTAACTATGGTATGCAAAAACAATCTTACGTTATAGCAGACTTTTTAAATCATCATCCTACCGTGATAAACTTGGTACAAGAAACGATGCACATGAAATGCTTCAAAAGAAAGTTAACTGCATATCTCCTATCAATACAAGAATAATTCTGTTTTCTTTTTTTCTATTTTTTCTTTTTTTTCTCTTTTTTTACCTTGCTGCAGTTTATACTGTATATGTATATAGAAAATCTTTCTGTTTCATATGTATATAGAACAATGTATATATGTAGAAAATCCTGTATATGTTTGGCCAAAATATGTATACTATATGTAACCTTGTGTATTTTGCTTAGATAACTGCCACTGATGTTTTGAGTTGTGTGTGTCTAAAAAGGGGTGTGACACCCAGTCAGGCATTCGTGCCTTTTTGTCACTCCTCCTAGACAGGGCAAATGTACATATTACCTGTCTTTGTCTGAAATAAATACGAAATACGAAATACCACGAAGCCTTCAGCTCAAGCGCCTGGTGCACACGGCGGAGGGTAACAAGATCATCGCACAAGCTGAACGGCGGCTACTAAACGCCCGAATCCATGAGTGCCACAGCGTCATCAAGAAGAAGGAATTAGACCTGTTCTTTCTACGACGGCAACTTCAACATTGACTGCTCGACATCTTTCCGTCACTGGAGGAGTTCGCACGAAATGTGGCTGCAACAACTGCGCAGAAACAACAAGCGACCCACAATAGTAAGCTTGCGACGCTTCAAGGAGAAAAACACCACTACAGTCCTGACAACGAGAATTTCGTCGTCAATCTGTCCTGCAAACAACTCTCCCCGACAGAGCACAGCGTGCTGGCAAAGGGACAACACTTCAACACGACCACGACACGTCCGTCACTGCCGAAGATCATCGCGGCTACGGAGGAAGGCATAAGGCGACTCGACAGCGGCATTCGGGAGAACGTGCGTCTCAAGGCTATCGGCGTACTATCAAAAACAGGAAAGCGCCGTGAGCACAACCTGTCGAGAGAGGAGTGTAAGGCGATCCATGCGCTCCGAAATGATGATAAGGTTGTCATCCTCCCGGCCGACAAAGGGAACGCAATGGTCCTGCTCGACAGGGAGGCATACAACGACAAGGTGCGAGACCTGCTGGACAGTCCGGCCTACGAAAAGCTGACGAAGGACCCCACACCAAGTGTCCAAAGGGAAATGAACAAGCTCCTGGCGGATATCTTTAAAGCGCACCCGAAGGCGAGAAACACATACCTCCAGCTCATC